GAAAGTGAGCGTGGGCAACTGCCTGTGTACAAGCCTCACATAGATCCACCATAGTAACCTTTCTTCCTTTCTGATTGCAAACGAGGACGACCCTTACTGCAATGCGGATGTAAGGAGGACACTACTGCGGATCGATCGGGATCACCTGTATAACCCGACAAAGGCATGCTACACTCTTTTTTCCCTTTTCTCCCCTTTTCTTCTTCTTCGACTTGGTTTGACCGAAGACAAAGGAGCCTAGGAGGTATCCGGTTAAATCTTTTCTCCACACAATTGGAGTTGGCCAGAAGGGCACTCCCCTGCAAATATGTATTATATGTTCCCTGTCAGTTTTCTGGCTCCACTAACTGGCACTAAGTCCACTTGTTGTTCAGAATATGTTCCCAACCTTTTTCCCGTTTCCAAACCCCCCATCTTTCTCTTTTCTGCGAACCAGTTTCCAGCTAGCTTTCTCTTTCGATGTCTCTGGGGGCCCCTTCTTGCCCTTTTCCTTGTCTTTCCCAACTCCATTTTCTTTCCCCTTCCCCTTGCTCACCTGCTCCCTCACTTTCTCTCTCCGCTCTGTCTCCCTCTCTTTCTCTCGTTCATTCTCTTTCCTTCTTCTCTCTCTCCCTCCCTTAGCTGGCAATGCCTGGCATTTCATTAAAATTGACATCATTTACTATTTTTGCAAAATTGGACCATTGATGGTCCGGCGTCCTGGGGACTCAGGACCATCTAATGTATCTCGACATAAAGTACTGTAAAAATACATCTGAGAGACAAAGTACCGTCGAAATACATCCGAGGGTCGAAAAAGAAATGGAAAAAAATCGAGGCAGATCAGATGGGACCATCAATGGTCTGATGTGAGCGGCAGCCGCGGCACAAAAAAATGCTAAAAAAGACAGTCACTCTGCTTTTCTTGAAGATCAATTTCGTGAAAATAGTCAAAAATGTCAATTTTAACGAAATGCCTGTGCCTTCCTCTTCTCTCTCTCTCTCTCTCTCTCTCTCTCTCTCTCTCTCTCTCTCTCTCTCTCTCTCTCTCTCTCTCTCTCTCTNCTCTCTCTCTCTCTCTCTCTCTCTCTCTCTCTCTCTCTCTCTCTCTCTCTCTCTCTCTCTCTCTCTCTCTCTCTCTCTCTCCCCCTCTGCTTCTCTCTCTCCCTCTCCCTTTCTCTCTCTTTCTCTTTCTCTCTTGCTCTCTCCTTCTCCCTTTCTCTGTCTCTCTCTTTCTCTAGCTTCTCCTCCTCCTCCCTCTCTTTCCTTTCTGTCTCCTCCTTTTCCTTTTCCCCCCCTTTCTCCCCCTTCTCTCTCCTTCTCCTTCTCTTTCTTTACCCGGGCAGGGTTTTTTTCACCACCCTTGGGTCTTTTCTCCTTTGTTCCGCTAGCCGAATTCTCCTAGGCTGACGAAGAGGCGCTGTTTTTACCTCAGTTTTGTTGAGGGTGCAAGATCTGAACGAACATCTCGTAGGTTGGGGATTAGCTTATTTTTGAAGGGAATAGAGTCTGCCTTGATAATTGAGCCGAAAGCGCCTTCAAAGGCTCCTTTCAACGGGCCTAAGGCCGAGACTGGCACACCAATACATCTGATCCGAAGCATTTTTGTTTCATCGGATCTCTCCACTCAGTTAGTTGTTTTTCAGGCATCCATGGTTTACACGAGACAGAGTAAACTACCTTATGTTATCTTCAAGTTATATCCTGTCTTCCCATTTTTTGAGCATCCAGGTCGCGGTTTCTATGGCCGAAGCAACATAAGTAATCAAATTTCTTCCTTCGTTTTTTAACAGTCCTGTTTTAGGTGTAGCTCCAGTTTCCCCTGATCTCGCCCATCCATTTTCGTAGATGCTCCCAAAAAAAAAAAATTAAAAAAAAATCCGTAGATGCGAATCAATCTGCTCTTAACTTCTGGGGTGAGCCATGAGGACTCATCACCAGAAAATACCGAGACCGTTTTCCCTTAACCAGTCTGACAGCCAGGATACGAGAGAGTTCCGGATCCACTACTACCCTCATGAAATCCTCTCCCCTCGTGACTGTGCTTGGGGCCAGCTTATACGGAAGTGTTCCGTCAACGAAGCATGGCCAAGCTCTCACTGCCTCTCAGTACTTCATAGAAGCGTGCTCTTTCCTCATCCGTGGGAGGGGAAGACAGGGAGGGGCGAGTGGCTGGAGACTCCATAGCTAAAAGGCAAAACCCGAGTAAGTAAAATAAAGTCCATTCTCAAATTGAAGTCCACACGTGGTATACTAGCATGCCTACACAAGGACAAGGCTAAGGCTAGCACAGTATCGAGGCAGCTTTCAGCCGGGGCAGGGATATACCTTCTCTTGGGAACGCAGGTGTCAGCCGCTTCAAATTTCCTACTTTCACTTCTGTTGTGCCTCTCGGTGGGAGAAGAAGACTTACCCAAAAACTCTGTTAGTTGTGGCCGTCTTCTTCCTCGGCGACTTAGGACCTCTATAATAGGCTCTATTCCGAGGTCCAGAGAAGGCCTATCCAGGCCAGGTTCATACTGAGTCAGACTCTCTCTTTGCGAAGGCCACGCTGTCGAAGCCCTGAATTCCATCAAGCCACACCTGCCGTCTTCAGTCTTCAAGCCTCAGTCAACGCCTCGTAGGGACTACCGTCTTCCCCCGAACACAACGCACCCGGATATGAACTGTACGCTTGCTATCTTCCGGTCAGGTGCAGCCAAAATGAGGGTGCGTTGTGTTCCGGGGGGGAAGACGGTAGCTCTCTTCCTCATGCCCCAGCCTCAACGGGCCTGCCCACTCCCTTCCGTGTCTCGTACTTAGGTGCCTCTCCTGGCCACGGGAGCCTACTACACCGACTCTGCCGAATCCCAATTTTCTATTCGGACTTCTCCACGAGACAACCGACCATGCCTTGTGCGAGCCTGCGAGGGGAGCCCTAACCCCTAGCCGAAGTCTTAGCTGGGCGAGGGGAGCCCTAACCCCTACCCCTTGCTTGTCTTGCGTCAAGAGTCCTGCTGCTACCCACCCTCGGCCCAATCCTTACCACCGCCAATGCAACATCGCCCCCCATCACCCTTCCTCCACGGTGACCGCTCGCCGAACGAGCGAGGCAGTGCCGCGTCACTGTGCCATTAATCCGACGTTTCGGATTCCTAATCGCTGTTAGCGTGCGCTGCGATTAGCGCTCGAAATAGCGCCACACTTAGCGCTCGCCTGCCCCAGGATTGGCTGTTACCTTTTGTGCTCACCCGAGTTTCTTCAACTGCATTCGAAACTCGGGCCCAGACTGGTCTGCAAAGATGGTGTTACGAACGGGATCTCCAAACTCAAACCGTGAGTGCGCCCTGAAAAACAAGGACTCTGAATCCTGATGGACCTGTGAATGGAGTTCTGAAATGTCTCCTTTGGCTGGCTCCAGCGTAAGCGAAACTGGGTAATGCTCCCAGAAGTTACCATCTCCTGGGCCGAGGTCCCACTAGCAAAGAGCATCGGATCGAATGGCCGAATCTGGACGTGATTGTGGAGAGGTGCAGGAAATCGAGATTGAACTGCTTTTCTGCACCTCTGGATAAAACACATCCAGATGCAGGAGCTTGATCCTATCCTCTTTGCTAGTGGGACCTCGGCCCGGGTAGACTGTGAGGACCCCGGCCTCTTTGGTTCCGTTGGTAATTGAAATTGCAATTACAAAACAAAAAACGAAAAAAAAAGGAGTTCTGAATTGTCCCGGGGCCAAGTCCCACAGGCAGTGTTGAGTTTCCTCAACACTTGAATGTGGACGAGTTTGGGTAGAGGTGCGGTTGCGGAAACACATAGGCCTTGTCCGGTTCCGTCGGTAATTGAAATTGCAATTACAAAACGAAAAACAAAAAACAAAAGACGCGGAAACACATAGGCCTTGTCCGCACACGTCTCAACAAAGGCGTCCACCGTAGAGCGTTGAGGAAACTCTACGGGCCTGTCACGGCTTCTCTTTTTTTTTTTTTTTTTTTTTTTTTCACCCTGTCAAAAAGGAAAGAAGGAAAAAACAGATATGGCGGGAAAMATTACAGACGCGCTATTCTGTGATCAAAGTTCCCGCCAGACTGGCGGTGAACGCGCCGTCTCGGCACGCAACCATCCTCCCGCGCTTGTGCAGAGCTGGCTCACTGCGAGCAGCGTGTCCCCAGCTCCTGTGGGCCTAGCTCCGCTACTCACCAAATGTACAAAATGAGAATCAATCTTCCGCTAGATCTTTTGTCTTTTGTGCGTGTGAAGATACAGCGCCATATCTTTTGTCTTTTGTGCGTGTGGTGAGTAGCACAGCGAAGCCCGCAACCTCCAGCACGGATAGGCCGATTTCGGTGCTGGTTTCCAGCGCGTGCGGCTGCCCCACGCGAAGAAACTGGAGCCACAACCCCCAGGACTCATATTGCCGAGAAATAATATATATACTGTAATGTAACAACGTGGAGTCTCATCAGTGTAGCTTTGGCGGCCGCAACGAGGAGTCTCATCAGTGTAGCGTCGGCGGTAGTCGGAGGAGGGGTGGGGGAAGGTCACCGTAGACTGTCTTTTGTTAGTCTAAGAGAAGGAGTGGGGGAAGGTCACTGTAGACTGTTTTTTGTTAGAGAAGGAGTCCCTCATCGCGATTGTCCAAGTGTGGTGTGCCCCATCGTTCTCCTCTTCGCTCCGAGTCGTCCTGCGAGAGAGAGTGACTGCCTGGTCCGCCAAGTAGAAGCAATAGTAGTACTAGTGTACTAGAAACAAGTGTCTCTCATGCGATTCGACTGACTACTTCGATTTAGCAGTACTGTTAAAAAGTAGTACTAATAGTAGTGCCAGTGGTAGTAAGTGTAGTAGTAGTAGTAGTAGTAGTAGTAGTCCAGAACGAAGTTTTTCCTGATCCAGCAGCATCTGATCCGCTGCTTGATCACCCCGATCTTCTTCTTCTTCTTCTTCCTCCTTTCTTCTTTCTTTCTTTTTTTCTTCTTTCCGTCTCTCCTGCTGCTGAAGCAATTGTTGTAGCAATAGGGTGCAGACTGTAGCAGTGGGAGGGCGAGAGAGTGAAATTGTCGTCGGTGAGAGGGACGAGGTTCTTCTGTGGGAGAGAGAGAGAGAGAGAGAGAGAGAGAGAGAGAGAGAGAGAGAGAGCAAACGCTATGGCGGCAAAGCGTTGTTTTCAGATTGGATCGGTGGATGAATTTAAGAATGTCTCGGCCATTCGAGCTGCATTGGCAGAATTTATGGGACTACTCATCTTCAATTTCATCTCCTGTGGTGCTGTTATAGTTTCAGGTGAGAGCTCGAGGACTTCCCCAGCGACAACAAATTCACATGACTCGACGTGAAATGATTCGAAAGTGGCTTGCCCTCTGCGTTGGCGTTTGGTTCGCCTTAAAGTTTTCCCTTTTAGTCATAAAAGTACTATTAACTGTCAAGAGTGTCCTTGGCTTGAAGTCAGTGAGTCTCTCCTTCCCTTTGTATCTGCGTGGCTGTGTGAGTGTGTGTCTGTGTGTGACTGTGTGAGTGTGTGAGCGAGTGTGAGTGTGAGTGTGAGTGTGACTGTTTGTGTGTGTGAGTGTGTGAGTGTGTGAGTGTCGGTGTGAGTGGGTGGGTGTGTGTGAGCGTGTGTGAGTGTGTGTGTGTGTGTGTGTAACTGTGTGTGTGTGTGTGCGTGCACGTGCGTCGGTAGGGCAGGGTGTGTATGTGTGTGTGCACGGCATTATCCGTTTGTCCGTTTTCGTGCCTTACGCGGTAAACGCGGGCACCGGGGGAAATGGATCCCCGGATCTTCCGCGATCGGAACGGATCCTTCGATCCGCCCGGTCCGGAAGAATTCGATGTCACACATTTTTGATCCGGCTGCCCCCGCAAGAATTCGTTTCAGACATCTTCGATCCGGCCGATCCGGAAGAATTCCATGTCACACATCTTCTGAACGGAGGGCGATCTTATCCCTTCGATCATCCCTATTTCGGAGTTGATTTCCTCTCCCCCCCCTCCCCCCTCCCCCTGAAAGAGAAAGCCTTGGCCTGCTCGGGGGAGTGACAGGACCAGTTGTATTTATGTATTTCTCGATGCGTAATGGTCATCGTTCCATTCACTCATTAGTTATTTAGTATTATTGACGAAGAGCATCGCAGACTGAAGTTTTTGCCTGACCAGGCCTGCAATGGTGGGTATGCAACTGTGGGGGGCAATTAAGCAATTCGAACGTGTTTACGCCGCAGGTTTCTTCAGAGACTCAAGAGGACAAAGTTAATAGCTGAGTGCGCTTTTATTATTCGCCTGGCCGGTGGTGTAATGGTTGAATGTGCAATGCTTTGCTGCAGGGTTTTCCAGAAACTCGACAGGAGATGTTGACTTCAACGCGAAGCTGGTCGCCATAGCTTTGGCTCATGGGCTGGCCATCGGCATCATGGTGGCCGCTACAGCTGGCGTGTCTGGGGGCCATATCAATCCTGCCGTCACCTTTGGGATGCTGCTCACCGGCCGAATCAGCTTGATGAGATCCATCATGTACTGGGTGGCCCAAATTGTTGGTGCCATTTTTGGATCGGGTCTCATCGCTGGCATCGCACCCAACAAAGCTGAGGTAAGGGATCAGATTCTCTCTTTCTCGTAACCTCACCAATTCAGGAGCTACCTGTTAAATTGTCGCAGGGGCCACGGGCCTTTGAAAATCCCTCCCATCAGCAGTGGAGTTTCTCTCCCATGTTTAATTTGCTGTAGACTTGTGCATCCTTGTAATATTAACAATTTAACAACAACAAAAAAAAAAAAAAAAAAAAGAATTTTTTTCCTTGTTTCTGTTCATGGGAATGGTGCCAGGCGTCATTCCTTGCTGCAATGACTAAAGCTTATCCTCTAAGCAAGTTCCGGCTATCCTCTGTGATTGTGGCTGCTCTTATCATCTCCCCGCCAAATAGACCGGAGCCGCTCGCCTCTGGGCCGTGCGTACTATTTGGACGCCGCTCTTCTGTATGAAATGAACTTATCCTGCGATTGTCTGGCAGACGCTGATCCTCTGCGGGACGGGGGGAGACCTAACAAACTGCCCAGAGACAGAGATGGACTCTGTTTCCTTAGAGAGAGAGTTACCTGGCTTTGCCCACAGGCCCTGGGATTCGAGAGCTGCCGAGGGACTCTGGGACCATAGGCCCAGAGTCAAAAAGGACCACCGGTGTGACTAGACTAGAAACATTGGAACGATACAAAGGATGAAAAAATTAGCATGCCCCTCTCGCAAGGATGACACGGATAAATCGACGAATGGTCCAATTTCTCGGCCTTTTGGCTAAGTTCAAGTGTAGTATCTCTTCTGATCAGTTTAATATCTGATCCGTGGTCCATCGGGAAGCAGTTTGTTTTCGTACGTGTCTGGCTTTTGTTGCAGGGTGCTCTGGAAACACAATGTCATATCTCGTCAGCAAAGCCATTTACAGGGACTCCTCCAGAGGCGTGATCGATAGTGCGACTCTGGGATCTTACTAGCCCCACAGTCAAAAAAGGACCACGTATGTGACCAGACTAGAGAATCCATGCCCCCTGACCCGAGGTTTCTCTTTTGAGAAAATTACGGCGCAGTCACGGGGTTTTGAGTTTGAACTTTGAAAATGCATTTCAGCAAGCAAAAGGTCTGAAAATGTCGAATATATTATATATACAAGCTAGGTTTCGGGTCCGGTGGGTGGGGGGGGGGGAGGGAATTGCCAAGTAAGCCTGAAGTGCCTTTTCAAACCTGTTTTCGTGACTGCACCGTCGTTTAGTTACCCCTAAGGCTTGTGTTTTTTGTGCACTTGTCTGGCCTTTTTTGTTTTGTTTTTGTTGTTGTTTTTGTTGTTGTTTTTGTTGTTGTTTTTGTTGTTGTTTTTGTTTTGCAGGGTGGTCTGGGAACACATCTGATCAACAAAGCCATTTACGGTGCAGATCCGACGACGCCCACTGAATACGTACAAGTTGGAACCGGCTTTTTGACGGAGGTTATCATCACGTTCATCTTGGTGTTCGTGATTTGGGGCACGGCCGTGGACCCCCGCGGCCCGTCGGCCATCGCCCCGTTGATGATCGGGCTCACTATTCTTGCTAACCACCTGGTCGCCGTTCCAATCACCGGGGCATCCATGAACCCTGCGAGGTCCTTCGGAGCCGTCGTCTGGTCGGGCCAGTGGGCCGACCACTGGATCTACTGGATTGGCCCGCTGCTGGGGGCTGCCATAGCCGCCTTGTTCTACGAGTACGTCCTCCTTGCTCCTCCTCCCTCTCCCTCTGCACCGAAACAGCAAAGGAAGCTCGCTCCTGAAACTGATCTCCCCGACAGCAGCGACAAGGCTGCTGAGGAGGTCTAAAATCTTCGTTCCACATTGTTCTTGTTTGAAGTTGTGTCCTTTTCTATCCTTTCGCGTTCATTCCACTTCTTCTCTTCCTTCACGAACGCCACCTTCTGTAGCCCGGTGGAAGCCCACAACCCTCTCTCTCTCTCTCTGTCTCGCTCGCTCGCGCGCGCGCGCGCGCGTTTGTGCACGCGTGCACGCGTGCGGCGTGCCAAAGTGTGCACAGCGTCCTCTGCTTCGAATGCTTGTAGATTGGCGCAATGACTACCGGTAGTACTTGCTGCTGGCTCAAAGAGCTAATTATTATTTGTAGTTGATGACATTCAACTGGGGTGCTTTTTGACCTAATAAGCTTCTAGCGCACGTACTAGTAGCATTTTTTTAAAAGTTTTGGCCATTAAAAAAGCAAACAAAGAAAACACCCGGGGGTACTGCTGTCGGAGGTGATATGAGCAGACCCTTCTATAGCAGATAAGGGGGCTTAGGGGGGCAGGTGTCTATTGTTGGTTGGGAGCAACACCTGCCGGGAAACATGGAACCCGAACATGGAAAGTTTGCCAGCTGTTACGTCCTACAGAGTCCCACATCAGAACCCTAACAATGCTAACATGGAAAGTTTGCCAGCTGCTACGTCCTACTTAGTCTAGTATTTTTGATAGAGTACCACAATTTTTTTTACTAGTACTCAGCATGATACTTACCGAAGAACTACTATGATCAGCATTTTGTCTTTTTTTTTTCTTTTTTTTTTCTTTCGAATCAAGCCAGATCAGCAATTTTTAGCCACGGTGACGTGAGAAGTGAATCGAGTCTTAAGTTTAGAGAATAAGTTTTTTAATTCCTTAAAGCTTGGGATTAGAGAACAGTCTGATCATCGCCAACACCGACTTCGCGAAGAGTTTGTCTAGCAAACTAGCAATCTCAGATTTTAGGATTCCGACTTAGAGGATTCTGCAAGTACTAGAACTGAATGTAGAAGATTCTTGCAAGTGTGAACTGAATTACTGCAGTGGGTGGTCAGACTCTGTTTCCAGTTTGTAAATGTGCCATTTGGACATATACTATATTCTGTAGTCGGACTCTTAAGTCAGTGCAGTCATTGTAGTGGGGAACCTTGTTAAGTTAGGCGATGAGGACAGAACGGCGATCAGGTATGTAGTTGTCCATTAGGCGAGTAAGTTATGAAGCAGTGGCATTAAAACAGTGAACCGCATTTTTTTTGTACCCCTTTAATTTGTAATTGGACGAGTAAAATAACGGCGACCTATTTGTCGCAAAGAGCCTGGCGCTGGCTGCTGGGCATCCCAACTCCTCTCGCCTTTTTCTCCTTTCTCCCCTCTTCCTTGTTTCTCTCCGTTTCCCTTTGGGGTCGTTTGTCAGCATCTTCTCAGCTCTCTCTCTCTCTCTGCCTACGCCTCCTCCTCCGCGTCCTCTTCTTCCTCCCATATTGCTCCTTTACTATCCTCAGCACGTTATGAGATCTGGGATTCTGGGTGGGAGCACACCACTCAACCCCACTTCCAGCGGCTCTGACAGTGGATCTCAAATGAGGACTACTGCACACCCACATTCTTATTCTTTAGCAGACCGAAATTATTGCAACTGTTATTATATTCTCTACTGTTGGTCTTGAGAAATTAAGCTGGATTCCGGAGTTAGTCCTCTCAGATAATCCAGTGGAAGCTTAATGTAATGCGACATTAATTAAACTGGGGCTCCTCACGGCTGGCCCAGAAGGAGGCAGGCTTCCTAGAATGGTACCGGCGAAGACCACTCAATATCAGTAAAAAGAGGGAGTGTGGAGAATGAGCGACACTGCCAGTTGGAGGAAGTGGAAACGGATAACCAGAAACACACTGCAAGTCTGGAGGAAGTCGACTTTTCCTGCTGCTCGGCTGCGACTAAGGCACCACCATGGTCTTCTCTGTCCGGTGAAGGCGTTTTTCTTGCCTGCAAGCATCCATTGGCGAGAGCCCGAAGTTGTGCAACTTGGAATGTCTCACATAGGACTGCGTTCGATTACACCTTCAGCAGATACGATACTACATGTGGGACACTGGCAAGTGTGTGTGTGTGTGTGTGTGTGTGTGCTGTCTCTTATACACATCTAGATGTGTATAAGAGACAGCCCGGTCGCCGTTCCAATCACCGGGGCATCCATGAACCCTGCGAGGTCCTTCGGAGCCGTCGTCTGGTCGGGCAAGTGGGCCGACCACTGGATCTACTGGATTGGCCCGCTGCTGGGGGCTGCCATTGCCGCCTTGTTCTACGAGTACGTCCTCCTNGAGAGAGAGAGAGAGAGAGAGAGAGAGAGAGAGAGAGAGAGAGAGAGAGAGAGAGAGAGAGAGAGAGAGAGTAGATACTTGGAGGGTAGTGCGAGATATTTGAAGTGAGGTCGTGTAAAGGTGGAGTGTGGGACTCTGCGTCAGAGGACTTTTTGGAGTTGAATCAGTTGAGTTTGGATTGGTTGTTCTGAGGACAGCTGCAGAAGTACACTGATGATCGTGGGATGACTGCAGAATGGGAGGATTGGAGATATTTTTGGCGGACGGATGAAGTTTACCTTATTGTTTGAATACCAAAGATGAATTGCAGGACAGAGTTTTGAACATATTATGGTGTTACCATTCACTGTAACTGTTTCTTATCTGTCTGTCAGTGTAACTGCCCCGAGTCCTGACGATGTATAGGTGCGCCATGGACCGTCTGCTAGGGGCAACCCTTGCCGGTGGATGGACATAGGCCCTGGGGTGATATTCTTTCCCGAAGAATAACAAAGCAGAAAAGGAGCAGGAAATGGAGAAAGGAACGAAGCGTGCTTTTGTAAGTGTGAAGCGCTATGGCCAGTTTCGCTTTGGATGTTTTCTGCACAGAATAGTGCTTCACTGTCAGTGTGTGTTTGTTAGTGTGGTACGAGCCTACGAGGCTCCTGTGATCGTGCAGTGGTATGTTGCGTAGGAAGGTGTGCTAAAAAACAACACAGGAAAGAGCCCACAGGCCGGGATGCCCATAGAAAAGAATGCTTATAATGTCCAGCTTTCAAAAGCAATGAATAAAAAAAGAAAAATGTAAAACAAAAACCAAGCCAACCAGCGGCAAGGCAAGTACAACAAGGCAAACAAAATGCCAAGGCAAAGGTCAAGACAGAACATGGGAGTATCAAACAGAAAACATCAGCAAAGAACAAAGGTTGGAGGGCATGGGAGAGGCGGGCGGGCAGACAAACAGTACTAAGCAGAGGAATGAGGCGGCAACAAGAAGTCAAGAAGTAGAACTAGGGCGGTGAAGCAACAGCAAGGAGTGTAGGCTGGACTCTGGAGGGCATGGGGAAGCCCTGGTGGGCAGGCAAACAACACTAACTTAAAGCAAGAAAAAAAAGAACGGACAGGAAAGTCAAGAAGCAGCAAGGCAACAAGACAACAAAATAGACAAAAGAACAAGTAGCGCAAAAAACACAAAGCGAAACAAACACCAACTGATGATAGATTGTTTCGTCGGAACGGCACAGATTCATCAACCCTCGACAATCTGCGGAATCTCCGTATTTCACGGTTCGGGTCATGAACCCTTGGAACCTCGTTGAAGGCAGATTGCACCCAAGTGGAACATAGCAGCGGGGGGCTGAGCGGCCAGCAGTAGAGACAACACGGCTGCACAATGCCAAACGACAGGGCAAGCGGACGAGCAGCATGGCCACAGTGCAGTGAAGCACAAGGCAACAACAACACCACAGCCCCACACAACGCAGCAGACAAAAACTCAACGAAGCACCAGGCAACGCTGTTGGAGCAACCTGACTCGCCAACGGCAAGGACTGCAAGGAATGGCAGGGCAAGTGGACCAGCAGGATGGCAACCGTGAAGCGAAGCGCAAGGCAACACCAACATGGCAACGAAACTACAAGGCATGCAAGCAACCGACATGGATTGGACGCCCAGCGATGGGCGGCAAGGCAGCGGAGCAGTGATGCGCAAGGCAACATGGCCACACCACATAGCGAACACAGCAGCTTACCAAGAAAGACCTGCGAAGCAAGCGCAACAGACAGCAAGGCAGCGGCGGAGCGCAGATGAGGCAGTCCACACATCCAACACGAAGCAAAGCGGCACATCACCTATTCACATCATGGGTGGACAGCGCAGACTGTTGGTTCCTACCATCCACTGAGCCAGGGAGTAACTCTGACGAGCATCTGTCAACAGACTCAACACCCGTAAGACAAACAGACATGATCCCAAACTGAGCAGCCCGCCTAAGGGTGATGCAGGCAGTGCCAGGCACTACCTAAAGGTGCTAAGTTGGGCAGACAAAACATACTTAGAAAAAAAAAAAAAAAAAAGGTACAAACAACACAGACATATATAAAACTTATGGTGTGTGTGTGTGTGTGTGTGTGTGCGTGTGTGGGAGGGTGGGTCACCGTGGGTGGGTGGGTGTGTGGGTGACACTGTGTGTGGGGCGGGGAGTGGGTGGGTGACACTGGGTGTGCTTGTGTGGGTGTGCCTCTGTGCGTGCCTTGACATCAACAATCAAGCCTCACACCAGAACAGTTTCACTGAGCTTATAGGTTCAAACCAAACTTCCAGAGGTGCAATCCAAATTTCCATGTGCAAGTGCGCTATTGAGAATAGAACCCTTGAATCCTTGATACTTCATTTAACCGTAGTTTAGCCCTAGTTAACAAACACCACACGTTATCATACACATGACACTACATGTTATCATACACATGACACCACATGTTATCATACACATGATACGGGATTGCAGAAAACAAGTGAGAGGTCAGGGACAACAGATTGTTTCCCCGACCACTTACCGGCATATCAGAAGCCTAATTTTCCACAGTGTAGAGAACACTGATCCTTTGAGTCGTGTTTGAGTCATGATCTACTTAGACTACTGGTCCCAAGGGACAGCCTGTGGCAATGCAAACAGCAGCAAGGCAAAACAGTGAGCAGTTAAGACTGAAGAGCAGAGGGAAGGGGGACAGGTGGGCAGGAACTTCAAGCCTCAAGGCAGCCAGCAACTGAGCAAAGCGACAGCAAGTAACAGCTAGACACACAGTCAGACTAGAGGGCAAGAAGGCAGCAAGCCTGAGCAAGACGTCGAAGCAAACGCAACAAGGCAATCAAGTGGGCAGTCAAGCAGCAGGGGAAGTGGGGGCAAGCAGGCCAGGCAGCACACAGCAAGTAGATCGGCCGCCAGGCAGAAGGGCAGTGCTACATACTCCAGACAGGAGCATGCACAAAAGCAGGCCACTGGCATCAACTATTCACACCACCGGTAAAATTGGACACACTGCACTGTCACTGCGGTTTCATGCGCTAGTCACCGCTTCTCAGTACGGAAGTTAGAGCCACCAAGGCACAACAACGGGACAAGGCTCAGCACTACATGGACATGATTGGCCAGAGCCTATCCAAGATAAGCTCTTTGGCGGCAAAGAGCTGTAGATCTGACACATCAACGGGAGATCCGAGACTAGGAGAACTGCAACATGTCAGCGACTCAGCGGGCCCACTTCCCAGCTCTAAAGTTGACGATTTGCTATAGGTACGGAAGTCTGCGCCCTCCTCCAAACTGCAGCCTCGCTATACTGCCTGATAACAGGTATTTACGAAATTCCAGAAGTTGGAGCACAAGGCCGACCCTCCGTGAAGCGCACCCCAAGGCACAACAGTCACGCCAGGCCCCTGACCAAGCAGGTAACTGCGCTACGGTCATTTCAGCCATCGTTGGGCAGTGCCTTGGCCCCACCTCCTTCCTCGGCTTCTTCTTCTCCTTCTTCCTCCTTCCCCTCTGCTTCTATCTCCCCCTCGTTGTCCCGATCTTCATTGTCGAGCTAGAGGTCGCCAAACGTTGCAGAATGAGTGAACACTAGGTTGAGCTGGTCGAGCACTTCCAGGCGGCCGATCAACTGCTGAGAACCGAGTTCGTCGAGGAGCACCAGCTACACTTTGAGGTCCAACACATGAACATGTCGGTGCCTGCCATTGCCCATCTGGCAGCGTGGTTACTCCTGTACGATCGACTATCCTATGGGGCGGTGTACGTTGACGTCACCTACGTCCGCACCCAGGAATCAACCCGGATCTACATCGAGTTCTGAGAGCTGAGGGTGCCAGAGACCTTCGTGCACATCATCGCCACGCCAATCACGACCTGGTTCCACTGTCTGAGGAAGCGAGGGAGCCAGGGAGAGAAATTCTGTGGGGACGCGGCCAGGGTAGCCAGGTCGGAAGGACCCATGTCGGCACTTCTTCCCACTGCTCCCCCTCAAAACCTCCGACCTCTCTAAATGCCACCCTTTTTCTCATACACTACCCTTCCCCACCATCTCACTGTAAGCCCCTATCCTATGTGCGACTTCCCAGATTACCAAGTGGAGCTAGCAGATGTGAATAACATGCCTTCAGCGAACGAGGATGCGTGGGAGTTGCATCGGGCCTTGTATTGATTGATGGCGCTTGGGTGAAAGGCGTGAGAGCAGAGCACCACACTCCACAGGGCACCAACGGAGCAACTCGTCCCCAAACACCCACCTTTGATGGTGTGCCGACACGTGGCAGCAACTCCTGTCTCGCGAGATGTGGGGGAGGAGGGTATGGAGAGAGGGCGATGAAGATGAACTGTTTGATGGAATGAATATGCCCGCCCGCAGGCCTTCCTCCCCTCATCCAAACCCAGCAAGCACCACTTCCTCATCATCGCCAGAACATATGAAGCGGATGACCGACCCTCACGAAAGCCATCGGCCGACTCCCCAAGTACCGTCCATGTGCTCTCCATTTGTCTTCTTCGTAACGGACGGTCACCTCCACAGAACCGCTGCCCGTTCCTTCTTCGCGTACTGCACTGCCCTGGTGCCCTGTGAGTCCGAAAATCGATTCAACGCGGGTTTCGCGGTGAAAAATTGAGCGCGCGTTAAATTCGCGTTCAATCCCCGTTCAAACGCGCGTTGGACGCGAATGAACGGGGTCCGCGAACCGCATTTCCGCCCGTTTGGGGGGGGGTAGGGGTTTTGTGAAAGTGTGGGGTGGTAGTGTCCGCTGTCGGGTACCGCCCC